ATTCGGGCGAGCGGCGTCCTAGTCCGCACGGAAACACACAGATACCCGACTTACAGTGATTAGCACAGTGTTCCCACACAACGATTGCCGCCGCTCATGGTCTAAGCACGGGGATGCGGAATTTAGGTAGACAAACATGGACCAACGAAACAGCATATAGCGAACAGCAGTGTTACCCCATAAACACAGAAGAACTGCTTTGAACAATAGAAGTCGCAGTTGCGCTCAGATGCGTCTAAGCACAGGATGCGCCTTTTAGCTGACGACACAGACGGCACCTGTGCCGCAGCATTAGCCACGAGCAGTGGTTCCATAAAACACAGACTGCTTGGTGGCGCAATAGAATTTGCAGATTGCGTCCAGTCTAAAGACAGGCCATGCCGCAACTTTAGTAGCATACAGAGGTCCCTGTGAGGCATTAGCACAGCAAGTGTTCCCCCATAAAACAGACTGCCTTTGACAATATAAGTTCGCAGTTGCGTATCATGGATCTAAAGCAACAGGATCGCACTTAGTAGTAGCACACAGGGTCCTGTCCGATATAAGCACAGACGATGTATACCCTAAAACGCAGATGCCTTCGCCAATAGAATTTTGCAGATTGACCTCATGGTCAAACACAGTGATGCGCACTTTAGTGTAGACACACAGCGAGTAACCTTACAAGCATTAGCACGAGTGTTTCCCCACATACTGCGCTCACGGACCAAGCACAGGGATCACAATTTAGAGTCGCAGTTCAGTTGCAGTGACGGCCGGTGTATGACAGGTGGGACGTTTAGTCATTGAAGGTCGCTTGCTGTATAGTTGCATCTTTCGTCCGATAAAGATGTCGCATACGTGATACTAGCTTTCCATTTTAGTCCTTACATCACATGATTAGGGGCGGCGGGGGGTATGGCATGTGCGTTTCTTACCCCGATTCCCATCAACATTATAATAATGAAATATAAATAATAATAATAATAATATTAACTTTTTTTTTTTTTTGTTTTTTTTTTTTTTTTTTTTTTTTTTTTTTTATTTTTATTATTTTTTTTTTTCTTTAATAATATATAAGTATACATTCAATAATATGTAAATGAGCCCAGTAGGGTGGGGGCATTCAGTGATAGACGGATTCATTGAATCCAATGCTATTACTATTTTATTGCGATGGTAGACACTAGAGCCTTTGTGCAAAGTTACTACTAATGTTTGATATTAATAGCAAAGCCAGCTAAGTTTTCTTCGTGTTGATTCGCTCGATATAATTTATGGATGGAAAAAAATTAATATGAATTTTATTTAATACTTAGATATAATAGTAACAATGTCAATCGGCATAATGGAGAAATTTAGTTTAGTTTTCCTCAGCATAGCACTCCAGCCGAACAACGTTGTTGATAGCCAGCGGGATGTGGACCCGCATTGACAGGCGGAAAAAGGTAGAGCGTACATGGCAATACAAACGTGTAATCATACCTGTGTTGATGTCTGCTTGAGGTTTTATAATTGGTTTAGATGAGCAGTTGCGATGTAAAAATTGCCAATTTACGTATTAGTATTTGCTCGATCGTTATGTTGTCTCTTATGACTTATGCTGCAGTCACCATGCACTTATTCGTAGCATACACTAAACAGCTATGTTGTAGTTGCATACCTTATTTCGCTTGATTTTTTTATGCATATGATTATCCTCATTAGCGCCTGATTTGTAGCAGATATTTAGCCATCGTAGCGATGCATATTAGCATATTTACTTAGAGTTTGATCGTCACATGACACCCTTTACCTGTCGTTGCATACACGAGCCTGGATAACGAACCCAATCGTGTGCTATTTACTGATTTCACTCCGCAAACGCCCAGCATTTCGCTGAGTATTACATGTTACGTTAAAATTTTCTAACTTAGTTAATGAAGTGTTCACGTTCGATCTCCTCCCAGTATTGTACATAAACAAAAAAAATAAAACCACAAATCTGCGTGGGGGCGCCATGGAGTTTGGTGAGGGCGGGGATAACAAGATAGTTGTCGTTAGTGGAGGCGGTGTGATCTGCTTGTAGGTTTTTGTACTAGAGAACCGGCTCGCGCTCCGCGGAGCAGTCGCGCCGAGCTTGTTGTATGGTGATTTGTACAGATGACCGCTCGATCGGGCGCAGTCGCGCACCACGGCTATTGTATGTTTGCTACTGAGAACGCTCGTCGTCGCTGTCGTACGCCGCCTAGCGAGCATGGCTTGTACGTTTTGATACGAGAAGGACTCCGTCGGGCGCTCGTCGGCCGCCGAGATGCTGTAAGGCTTTTTGTACGAGAAGCGCTCGCTCGGGCGCGTCGCCGCCGCGAGCATGCTTGTAGGTGTTTGTACGAGAACCGCTCGCTCGGGCGCGTCGCCGCCGCGAGCATGCTTGTCGTCGTCTGCTATCGTCTGCTTGTGTACTCATCGCTTTTTCCCACCGTTTTGTTGAATCGTTGTCGACGTGCAGAGATCAGGTGACGATGATGAACGACCAATGTATTTGGTGAGTGCATGGCTGTGTCACCAACGTTGTTGTTAAGTGATTAAGTAATCTATTCTTGATTAATTGCTGTCGTGATTGTAATGAATGCGTTCCCTTTCGTGACCTGCAGCATGTCACGTTAACTATTTTCGAACACGGTAAACGACTCTGTACGCCGAGGGTTGCAACTCTAACCAAAAGCAGATGATCGTTACGTTATCGATTTGCAATCAATCATTTTCTGTTTCTTTTTCGTGTATCGTTCATTGTTATTGATTTCCACGCAGCCGACTGTAAAATACGTCGTTCGCCTCACACGTAACCATCTAAAGTTTGTTAACTTTCATATTTAATACGTAGCTTTCTAAAGTACGCAGAGAGAGCCTCTTTTCAAAATTTCGTTTTAAACGTCCTCTCATTATAGCAGGAGTTAATGACAAACAGTTTCTATATATGATTGAAAAATTTCATCGGATCTCTATAGTTCACATAAAAATAAAGTTTATCTCAGTTAGATCCATATTTATAACTTATAAATTTTATTTTTATAGTTTGTATATAATTATAGTGATTATGATAATAGTTCATGTGTGATGCATTCATTGTGAATACTGACGATGTGGCGGTGTTGCTTGTGTTTCTGCAGCCGCACGTGCGAGTCTGGGACTCTGTCAGCTTGCATACGATGCACATCATCGGATTGGGAGACTTTGAGCGGGCGGTATGCTGCATTGCCTTCTCCAAAGCGGTAAGTACTCGGCGCAAATCTAGAGAATCTACATCACAGAGACCGTGTAGAGAAGCTAGCACTCCTCCGTAGGTGGGTCGTAGGTAGCAGCAATGCTGGGACGTTGGCGTGAGCTGCGTTAGCTGTGCAGCACAGTGGAGAACAGTGAGCAGTCAGTGTTTCCTCTGCATTGGCAGGAGCGAGGTGGGCTGCCTTGCTCAAATTCTCAGCCGCCACACAAAAATTTGTCCAAAACGCCGTCTCGCTGACGAAAATCAATGTTCTTCCATCAATAAACTACACTTTCTAGAACTAAAATCGAAATATAGCTTAGAATACTCCAAATTGCACTTTTTTTGTAAAAAAAAAATTCCTAGACCTGGGCGAGCACCTGTGGTCGCATTCTAGCCATTGATGTGAATCTATAGCCGCGTTCTCACAGAGCAAAACGACCCAGGTCGAAAACGACCCGTGTCAAATGCGTCCCGAGCCAAGCGTTCACACGGACGTTTTCTCGGTACGAAAACGACCCGAGCGCTGGTTCATTTTTGCCGTGTGAACGCGCACCGGCACACGACCCGGGTCAGAATGAGTACGGCGGTAGACGTCGCCAGTGTCGAGAGCCAGAGTTTGATTGTTTAATTCGCATTTTTCGCTTGATTGTTCGCTTGAACGCATTGTATTTTTTTCTCAGCTCGCAGCTCACATAGCGTCGTGTGAACGCTCTCTTCAACAACGCTCCGTGTCGTTTTCGATCCGGGTTAGTCTCGGATCATTTTCGACCCGGGACGAACGCTCCGTGTGAACGCGGCTTATGAAGCCACACCTGCTATTGCTAACATCGTGTGTGCTGTTGCAGGACGGAGGCCAGCTGCTATGTGCCGTGGATGAAGCGAATGAACACGTGCTGTCTGTGTGGGACTGGCAGAGAGGTGAACGCGGCCAGAAGATAGCTGAGAGCAAGGTTAGCAGGGAACACAGGCTCATCGACAATACAGCTAATGTTCACTCGAGAGACGGGCGAATATTTGTGTTTAGATTTTGAGAGCAACGTAGGAAATTGACGCTGATTTATAAACAATATTGCTACTGTTCACAAGGTGGGATATTTAATTAATTAACTAACTAGTTCATTAGCAATATTGCTACTGTTCACAAGGTGGGATAATTAATTAATTAACTAGTTCATTAGCAATATTGCTACTGTTCACAAGGTGGGATAATTAATTAATTAACTAGTTCATTAGCAATATTGCTACTGTTCGTAAGGCACTGGATAATTCTCTTTAGTTCCAGAGAACAGGTTAGGCCATGAAAACTAGTTATAATGAGCTCTAATTATTCATAATTATATTATTCTAATTAATTACTATATGTTGCTACTGATAAATAGAGGGAAGGGTTGGATATATATTTTTAGGTCCTGAAAGCATGGTAGACAAAGAAAAGCTGGGCCACTAAAAATACTGTTCAGTACCAGAGGGAAAGGTGGAATACTTATTTTTCCAAGTTTTAGTTTGTTTAATAGCAATATTGTAACTGTCAGTGAGAATGTATTCTAATGCGTGCTCACACTATTTACCTCAAGTTATGATTCTATTCTCTTTTGATTGCACCATGTGGGATTCAGGGTACAGGCGAAGAGGTAATTTTGTTTAATCTTCGTAAAACTAATTTTTATTTTGAATTCGATTTTATTTCCACGTTGTTTTTGTGTGCTATTTCTTTATAATTTTCAAACAAATCTTATAGATTAATTCATTCAGCATTGCCAATCACTAGCCTAGTTAGGTATCCTACCTATATACCGTATTTACTCGTGTATAAGTCGCATTCGTGTATAAATACTATTAAATAGCACCCCATATTTTCCCTAGAAGAAAGGTTGGCACAAACATTTCTTAGCCTCGTGTATAAGTGTCGCCCCTTATTAGCTTGCCTTGACATCGTCAAGATGAGCTATTGCCATGGGGTGTCGTCTGTCCGTCCGTCTGTCAACATTTGGCTATGGTCAAAGATAACTCAAGAACCGTTTGACCCACATGTTTCAAAGTGCATATAATTGTTACTCCTATGGGAGAGGTTTGAACGTCCTATTTTGGAGCACGCCAGTCGACCTACTTTCGAGCTACGTCCACTCTTTGGCAAAAATTGAAATGGCCATAAGTCAGTTCAGGTTCAATGGATTTTGCTCATTTATGGTATGTGAATGAATGAGGACTGGCCCCAAAACACATCACACAGGTTTTGATATTTTTGTTATTATTATGAAAATTAGGTAGATTTTAGCAATTTCACTATGCATTTCAGTGTCTGCCTACGGTCAAAGATAACTCAAGAACCGTTTGACCCACATGTTTCAAATTGCATATAGTTGTTACTCCTATGGGAGAGATTTAAACGTCCTATTTTGGAGCACGCCAGTTGACCTACTTTCGAGCCACGCCCACTTTTTGGCAAAAATGAAAATGGCTATCTAGATTCATTCGATTTTGTTAAATTTTGGTATGTGAATGTGTAAGGCTAGCCCCAAAACAGTTGTTACTCCTATGGGAGAGATGACAACGTCCTATTACGTTTATTTCGTCGAACTGGTTAACAACTCTACAATCATACCTATATACGTGTAATATTGTGTTTTAGATTCTTCGTTACAGTAATTTGACTGGAATATTTTATTGTTTTTAGCTCATCTGACATAGTCAGATGCAGCTTGTAGAATCGCATGATCGTCCGTGCGTCCGTCCGTGCGTCCGTCCGTGCGTCAACAGTTGGGCACAAATCTTAACCGCTCGACGTACGGTCACGATATTCGGCACATCGGGGGGGATCGTCAAAACGAGTTGGGATGTCGAAGCTGGGGGTCAAAGGTCAAAGGTCAAAGGTCAAAGGTCAAA